TTCCTGAAATCCCTTTACCCAGATGTTGACTTAGCTCTGACGCTGCAGTGACTGGCATGATATAAAGTGGGAGGGAGAGAAAATAAAGATGAATAATAAGGACAGTTTTCCTTTGCAAGTAACGTAGCCATTCTGTCATTAGTCAACATTGTATTGAAATTGTTTGTCTATTGGTTTCAAGCATTTTTGAAAATTTTGTAGGGCCTAAGAAGGAACTGTAGGTACTCTTACCTTTAACATTTTATGCAAAGCCTCGTTTAACAAAAATTCAAAGCATGTATGAAATAGAACACTGGCCACATTAATTGACAAGATTTTTTTTAATCTCCTTGGAGAACGGTAAAAAAGAAACAAGAATAAAAGTGTAAACAAAAAAAGAAAAAAGTATCTTCAAACAGCTCTGGAAATTTAAAAGACTGTTAAATTGCTAAGAAAATTAAGAGGTACTAACCACAGAACAAGAAAGAGAGAAATTTTATGATCCTATCAAATAGATTTAATTAATTATTATACAGATAATGCAGTAGTATTTCCTCACTGTAACTTATATTGCCAGAAACACCAAATGGTGCTAACTCTTCAAAGAGGGACATATTATTCCCCAATGCAAAGAGAGTTGGTCCCAATATCGCTTTTATATGTAACATGGAAATTACTCAGCAGTCTTCTTGGTCCAGTTACTGCTTTCTGCCCACAGTGCTGCAGCTTCTTGAGGTACCCACTTCCCACAGTTAGGCAGAGTCTTAAGTGCTTTAGAAAGAGTTTATACCAGGAAAGAAAAAACATGCCATAATGCTACTTTTTTCAGCCTGGTGTTTTTCTTTTATTAAACAGGTGAAAAATGCAGCGGCCAATGTACTCAGGGAAACATGGTTAATTTATAAAAACACAAAGCTGGTTAAAAAGATAGACCATGCAAAAGTAAGGAAACATCAGCGCAAATTCTTGCAAGCTATTCATCAGTAAGTACTCTTTTGCCTTGGTTTTCCTCTCCAGGTGTTTTCTCTCTTAGGTTGCCTCTCCTTAATAGTCATTCTTAGTCCCATGTCCTGTCCTGCCCCCTCCTTTCTCTCCTCCCTCGACCCCCCACCTCCTCATAAAACATTGCTCTTGAGGTTGTCTTACTTGTAGAGTAAGGTTTTACTGTATTACCTGTTTACAAAAAAATAAAAAAGTATGCTGGCTGTGTATGTCAATATGGAGTAAATCAAACTTGTTTTTTTTTTTAGAAGTTTCCTGTGTTTCTTGAATAATCTAAGACTTTTTTTGTCTTTTTTCACTGAGACTATCCTTTGTTGTTATGTATTTGCTTACAGGTAGTAAGATACAAGCTACAACAGACAGAAGAAAATGAAAAAAGTTTCATTTTTAGTAGATGTTTTAATAATTTAGAATCAGAATGACATGATAGAAGAAAGCCTATGAGTATGTATGTAACATTTAATGAAAAGAATATGCACCAAGCGTCATTGTACAGTCCAACAGCAATTAGTTGCCTCTCTCCTTCATATAGTCTCAGTATGTAAATCCAAATGTTGGTATGTCAACTATGACCCCTGACAACCATTCTACAAAATGGGAGTATATGCCAACAGCCATTGTGTGACCTTTGAGCACCTCTGGCATGATTCAGATGAGTTCTTGCTCTCTATTGAAATCTTAAGGGATTGAAAACAAACCTGAGAACTGTAACCAGTAGTAGGATTAAGCTCAATTATGGTATTACCAGACTGTAAGTATTTATCTAAAATTTATAATACGTATTTGTTGTAAAGCACATCAAAACCAGCAGAACTGCACAATGATTCAGTTACTCTTCCTTGGACTGGAAAAAAAAAAAAAAAAAAAAGAGACATTTGTCCTCAGGAACCACAGATTCTACCTGAGGAATGATCAGGACCCATGCCACTATTTGTCTGCTCTATTCAATGTCCCCATCCAGACTGAGGCAGCCATTTGTACAGCCTATGAAATTAATTTCCATAAGATACTGGGGAGATGTCGATAAATTAAGTAAGTTTAATTTCAAACTGATGTTTTGATAACTTTTGAGTGTGGGTCTGTGTCTGAGCCAACCTGTGAGGAGATGTGAGGGAAGCATCCATCATGAAGAGAACACGTATGTGTCATCATGCAGGAAAGACAGGAAGGAAATGCCAGGTTATCATATTTCCCATTAGTAAATTTAGGCTAACAGTCATTGTTCTTTTGTTTCATAGCAATGTTTTAAAGAGATGGGTAGCTAAGCTTAGGGTATGAGTTATTTTATAAACCTTGATTAGTATATTATATTTAGCAAACTTGCAGGATTACATATTACTGTGCTATTGCAAAAATACGTGAAGGAATAAAAAGACAAGGCATTTTTATGTGGATATAAGAAGTATATTTTCCCAGTTTGGTCATCATGCTTAGCTTAAAGAATTGGGGGGTGGAGGGGAGTGGCAGGGGTTCTGGGATAGAGGATGGCATGTCCTGTGCATCCTTTGCTGGACTTGAATCCTTGATTGCCAAGGTTATTCCTTAACACTTTAACTTCGCTATTTATTTTGTGTCTCTCTGTGTCTGTGTGTGTGTGCATGTGCACACATGTTCAGAGAAGAATCTAAAAAGCACAGCAGGCTCGATCTGTAGCTTTACATATCGTCCAAGCCCAGAAGAACTTCACAGGATGTACAGTGTTGTTCTGCACCTGCCTTAAAAATTCATTAATCAGATGGGGTGAAGAAGGTGGCAGCAGTAATTTTTTCCTAGCTGTGCCAGCCAACCTTTGAACAACTATGTTAGTAACGTGTTTCCCTCTGTCCTTTAGCACTTCACATCCCATTCCCAAAACTTTTGTATTTAAGGGAAAAAAAACCAGGTAATTTTCTCAATATGCTGAAGAATGTGCCATGTATGAAAACATTGCTTTAGCAGTTTGCTTTCTTCCAGCTGTAGCAGAGTAGATGGGTGCAAATTATGTTTTCTCCCTTTGCATCTTTGAACTTTTCTCAAGTGACTCATGGTGGCATATGGCTCTTTTCCATCTTTCTGCATTCTTAGGTTTTTATGGGTCCCCCTCCTTCACCTTTCCAACCATTTCACTGGAGACAAAATTTATAAAAGGACTGAAGTTTCAGGAACAGTTTCGTACAAGAAAACGTAGCAGATCATGATAACAGTCTCAAACTCACAGTCACAGCTCTAAAACTGCCTTGAGGTGGTCTGGGTTTTTTGCTTCTCATACAGGCTAAATAAGGTGAAGGTGAAATCTACAGACAATAGTTAGTGGGAAGGTTTGAAGCTATTGCAGATTCCTCCTTCATGAATGCAAGTTAATAGTTAGACTCCACCTCAGGCAGTTACTGATTGAAAGAAGTAGCAACTCCCTAGGACTTCCCACCTGCTGAATCGAGCCCACTGTGCTCATTTGGTTGTTTTAGTATATTTTACAGTTTGTTTTCTTTTGTTTTGTCTTTTTATTTCAACAAAATGAAAATAGAGCTCGGAAGTAAGTTGTATAAGCTGTTCCTTTCTAAATTTGCAGAATTTACCACTGTCTGCATGCAAAAAATAGAGTCTTTTTTTGTGAACTTCAGTGGTCTGATTGCTGCCATGGAAATGCGATCCAGAATCATGATCTTTTGCTGTGATAAGTGAAGTTCATAAAATCAAGTTGTTTCATACTTTCTCTTAATGATTTTAGGAAAGAAAGTCTGACGGTTTTCTTTAAATCCGGCTGCTGCAGCTAAAGACTTGCCATTACCTAGAGATAGATTTTTACCATCTGTGATAGGTATTGGGTTGTTTACCATGAGGAATTTTCATGTTGGTGTCAGCTGGTACTTTGTATTGCTACAATAACAATGGATTTCTTGGATTTTTAAAATTAAAATACTAACTGGCAAACAGATGAGTCAATGAATCTTAAGAAAAGTAGAAAACACATATTCTGCAAATTATCTGAGAGATGCTCACCAAAACTAGGTGTTAGATGCTCACCATGACTAGGGTTGTCATTCTCCAGTCAAATCATTACATGCTTACGTTTGAGTAATTATTCTGTTCTGAGACTGTAATGATATAACTCCATACCTTGGAGTTATACCCTCCACATTTTTTACTTTAGAATAGCTCCAGCTCTTACCTTCTGAAAGCACCATACCGATAGTCTGCATTTATGCTGCTATCTGAAGGATGCTCCCAGGGGAAGAAGAGTGTATGACATTCCAGTAACAAGTGGCTGGAATGTCAATTTTATGTGAACAATTCTACCTTAGCAGAGTTATTTCCATGTGTTTTAAAAGATATTTCACCCTTCACAACTTATTTTCTCATGGTGGTTAGCCTAGATATGAAAGGAAATGCTCAGTAGTTAAAGATAGGAACAGAAACATCCTGATTTTGGAATATCTCCAATAAGTCTTTCTTTAAACTAGCTTTCCGAATAACATCATCACTGAGAAATAGGCAGAGTATGCACTAGCAACCCACCTGCCACAAAATGCGGCTGAACTTATTTGCATTTGACAGCTAACCAAATGGTTGGATTGGTTGGCCCTTGACATACTAGTAGACTACATGGTATTTTATCACACATTGTTTATAAATTGATATATTGTTTTTAAAAATTCTATTTCCTGCTTAGAACAGCCACCAGAAAAGTTGTTGAAAGTCCAAGTATTTATCTGTTGAGAAATGTTGACCAAATGACTTGTACTTAAGGAAGAAATTGCTTATTTGTCAAAATCATATCTACAAACCACTCCTCTAGCAGTTAATCTGAAAAACATGGACTTTGTTTCAGGGAACACATGAGAAACGTCATGTAAATATCTTTCAGTGTGTGTGCACAACTAATAATCATGCAGCTAGGTAGGCATCAAAGAGAAAAATATACCCTTGCTGCTTCTTTCATAGTTTTTCAATGCTGTATTTTAAATAGTGCGTTGAAAAGGAATGTCTACTGTAAGTTTAAAATGTATTCATATTTAGATTCCAAATTTTTTAAGAAAATCAAATGTATTGGCAAGTGTGTTGGTTATTTAGCTGCTGGTCAGATGGAAGTTCTGTTTAAAGTAATGAGAAACTCACTTATCACTGTATTTCCATCAGGTTCAAACACCTGCTAACCCAATCCATTTCCGACAGAACAGGGCTAATACCTGTATCTAGTCATGTAGGCATGGGAAGATTCTTGATTGCTACAACATTAATGACAAAAAACATTTGCTCTATGTTTCTTCCTATATCTACTTGTCATGATACTGAGGCTTTGAGGAATGTTTTGGCTTCCTTTCATATAGTCTGGATAAATTGTTATCTCCCTTTTTGAATTTAACTTTGACCATGGCAAGTGGTATTCTCAAGGACATCACATTTCCTTGCTCCCTCCTTTTTTGCGGTGTTGAAGAAGCATGCTTCTCATTGTAGCAGGCACATGACCAGTTCTGACTTTACACAAAGTACTCAAGGCATTGTCCATGCAGTTATTTGCTCTTGTAAGTTTTGTGCATGCTTTTTAGAAATCCTAATATGACCACATACACCAAAAAAATCTGACTTAAAATTCCACTCTTTAGATTAAGAAGTGTAAAAATGGAACAAAGGAAACTGAATGATCAAGCCAACACTTTGGTGGACCTGGCAAAGGTTAGTAGGCAATTACTGCTGTTTTAACATTCATCCTTTCAAAATGAAGAGTTTGTAAGTTAAAATGTTGTGCATAATACATGCAAATACTGTTAACAAGTTTGTTACTCGTAGAAAATGAAAATACATGTGTGTTTTGTGGTAATACCTACTGAGTGAGACATCTTGTTTATGGATCTGACCAAAGTTTGAATGCACCATATTTATTTTTGTTTTGTACCTTTGAAAAAGATTTCTCAATTGAGAGGCTGATCCTGAGGAGTTCCTGAAGTGACTGCAGTGGTCATGGTAAATGCTGAACTGTGAGTGGGCTGTAGTACTGTAGTGCTGCATAGTAAAGAGATTTCCCAACCAGTGACAGTGACTGTGCTGTGAGGCACCATAGTACACAAGCTCCCACACAGACTCTAATTAGAGGTTGTGGTGCTCTATTCCTGTTGTCCTATGCAGCAGTGACTTTGGACAAGTCAATTTAGGTTTGCATTTGTTTAAGTTTTTATAATGAACAATAGCTGCCTACTTTGCTGATATATCATAAGGCTTTATTAATCTTTTTTAAGCCATTTGAGATGAGGTAGAAGAGGCTATTCAGTTGCAAACTGCTTGTCTATTTTTGCTAGGATTTTTCATTAATATGAAAGAATAACTAGAGAGTTAGATGGCTGAGTTGACAGCATGCCAGGTTTCACATTAGACCTCTGCATTTAACAGTTACTTTGATCTTAATTTGAGGCTACATTAAAGGCATTAATGGGCTTTTCTTAAGGATTTCTTGTACACCTCTTCATGTACCTCAAACCCCTCCTCAATTTAAAGTGCATCAAAGCAAAGATTAAACTCTTCAGTGTTCATTTCCCTTTTGCTTTGGAGAACCACCTGACAACTTCAGTTGCTGAAAATACATTTCAGTCCAATGCTTCTGGCAACTGATAAGGACTTCTCAGATACTGTTTAATGTAGACTACTCTGCTTTCAAGGGTTATGCTAGCATCTTGAAATAAGGGGCAGAGAAATGGGTTATCGACACTGATACTGAAGTGCTTTACATTTAAGGCAGTCACTCATTCAATTAATTTTCATTCCTTTTGGATAGTTTATAAACTCCAACCAGTTTGTCTATTGAATTACATCCAGTTTTGACTCTAGATTTCAAGTCTAGTCTGAAGTCTCAGTCTATCAGAGACAGAAATTCAGTCATTATGTTTAACCAGTTCCAAGTCTCTATGAAATAACACATTTTAGATTACATTTTTACTGATCACTACGGCAATTTGAAGTACACCCTATATACTTGCTGTAACCAAATACTGTGTTGTAAAAAGCAAATAGATGGGGGAACACAGAAGTAGAGAAGCATACAATTGAGTTTTTACTCCTTGCACTACATTTCAAAAACAATCCACCCAACTACTCTTAGTACAGCCAATTCAAGAAAACCTGGTCAGTTTAAGATGAAAGCAAATGAACAACATTTGTGTTCTGCATAGAAGAATTAGGGTGTTTAAAACCAGTGGAAATACAGAAGAGTCAAAGATGGATCATGGCTTTGGAGCCTTTGGTCTCCTGGTGGCTTACACAACTGACTGTTCACAAAGCTTAGCATTGTGCATTTCTAAGCACCTGAACATCCAAAAAGGTCTGGTCTTTTGTCTAATTCATTTAGACCTTGACATCTAAAGTGCTACTCAAAATATATTACATTTCTGCTCAGTAAATTTAGTAGAAAGTTTATTCTGAATCTACAAGGAAAATCATTTCACAAGACTAGATATTGTTACATATTTGTATCTTTTTGTTTTGTGAAGTGCAAAAGAGTTTACAAACCCTTGTAGAGTTGTGCTGCTTGTTACAATATTTGTAAGGTCTCTCTAAACCTTTGTTTACATCCTTCTACTTTCAGACTCAAAACATCATGTATGACATGATTTCTGACTTAAATGAAAGAAGCGAAGATTTTGAGAAGAGAATTGTAACTCTGGAAACCAAACTGGAAACTTTAATTGGTAGCATTCAAGCTCTCCCTGGACTGATTAGCCAGACAATCAGCCAGCAACAGAGGGATTTCCTCGAGGCTCAGATACAAAATTATGATAAGCATGTTGCCTACAGTGCTGAACGATCACGATCTTTGTCAAGAAGAAGGAGATCATCCTCCACAGCACCACCAACTTCATCAGAGAGTAGCTAGAAGAGAATACGTTAACCACAAAATAAAGACTTTTTGCCATCATATGGTCAATATTTTAGCTTTTATTGTAAAGCCCTATGGTTCTAACCAGTGTTATCTGGGTTCTGATGTCAGAATCCCGGAAACCTGAACATGTTTTAGGCCAAAATGAGTGAAAACCCTTCTTTTTTCCCCCCTCCTCCTCTCAGATGCACAGCGAATGCACCTATTACTGCTATATTAGATTGTTCCTCCTGTAATTTCACTAACTTTTTACTCATGCACTTCAAACAAACTTTACTACTATAATATATAATGTAATAAAAAGGTTAATTTCTGCACATAGTTGCTTGGTTACTTGGACTTAACAACTAAAATAATGCTCACAATCAATAGGCCTAATTATAAACTTTTAAGAAACAAAATTAAAGCTTCATAATTATCTCTCAGTATTAAAACTAATTCTCTAAACTTTGCTTGCAGTGGAGGGGGAAAAAAATCAATATTCATCTAGCAGTGTGCTGTATATGTATAGTCATTTTAAAAGGTCACTGACAGCTTCGATTTCTGAAGTGATTAATTAAAAATATAGTTTATCCTAGAAAATAAGTTATGAAGTATGCTATGGGTTTTTTTAATCTTCTTAGGGATTTTGTTTAACATGCATTTGTACACACACATATAGATAATATATATACCTATATACTTATGTATATAAAATTATTTATGCAATGCCCATGGCAAAGATCTTTTAAACTGACTATTTGTAATGCTGCTGGCATGCAAAAAGCACAGGGAATGTCCCGTTCATTTATTCAGAGTCTCATAATTATGCCAGGTAAGTATGTCCAGACAAAAGCATCACTTTCAACCTGGAAGTCTCCCATTAATGCTATTTGGATTTTGAAAGTGTTAGGTTGCTACTTTCTCCACTCACGTTTTTGTGTTTAAAGTTTCTGGAGTGAATGACTGACACACAGAATTACAGTATACAGAATTGCATGATGGCAGGACAGTGTTCTGTATACATTACATCTGGGTAATCCCCATGGTGTCTGCTAGGCAGTCAAGCTTAGCAAGACACTTTTAAGCAATATTTCCAAAAACTGTTGTAAAAAAAAACCTGCTGTAGACCGGAGTTACAGCAGTGGGATATCTGTGGTACTTTATTTTAATGCAGAAATAATAAGGTTTCCTGCTTGCTTAAAAAAACCCACAAAACATGGTGTAACTGTTTGTGAAAAAGTTCTGGCTGACTTTACACCCAGTTTATATTCCAGAGTAGCAAAGGTAGGTAAGCTGAAATGCTCAGCACATGCAACGTACATTCACAATTCCTAATTATAAACAGGAAATTATTTTACTTTATGAAATATTTTATAATACTTGCTACTTATAAAATGTACTAGTTGTCCCCTGCAGTTTACAGACAAGGGTGACACTATAGCTAAGTATAACAAGTAGGCATGGCTGACTGTTTCCGAGGGATACTACGTCTGCCTAGAAGTAACTTAACCTCCACATTGAAGGAAATGCTGATTGCTCCATGAGACATTGTGAGTTCTGGTCAGCAGTGACAGGCAGGGAAGATAGTAATGGAGAAAGTCAGGGTAGAGCCATGGTGGACAAGACAGAAGAGGTGTTCTCCACAACACCCAAAATTCCCCAAAACCAAATAGATAATCTGAAAAAAGAGCAGACACTTTACTCCTGTTTAAAATAAAGGGTCTGCCTTTTTGGGGGGTTCAAAATGTATAACTGATGGATATAAGTTACATCCAGAGGCACTGCTTGTTTATGAAAAGGTCAAAAGTTTCTCCAACACTTACGTCCTTGAGAAAGATGCTGACTTTGCAGTAATTTTCCCCCTAGATGAACAGGACAGTTGCATAACTTTGGAGTGCCTTGTTTACAGACTGTGGTATTTTGTGACTGGAAGTAATAAGCAGTATGCATGGTACTTACAGTTCTGCTTTTGTTTTTATGAAGTTCATTTCCAAAGGAAAAGATGGATATTATATAGTGCTAATACTGTGCTAGCGCAGTCCATAACTAGATGAGATTTTGAGTGGTCATGAGGCCACCCACTTTACAGTGTCGGCAGGATTAGAAGTAGTGACTGATAATACTGCAATTTAATAGTGAAGTTTCAGAATTCTTTTTTTGAAGATTTTTGTTCATCCATTTTCCCATTTTTTGTGTTTAATTTAGAATATTTTTCCTGTCATTGAATATGAAATACACTTACTGTAGTTGAATACATTCCTTTTTGTCCTGTCAGCTTGAACTAGCTCTTTTGTTGTTTACAACATCTTTTCTATATTTGTAAGACCTGGGGTTTTTTTTCTCCTCTGGATTGTACAACTGGGTTTTTGAAGAACTGCAGCTCCGCATTGAAAAATTCTTGCCAATCTGTCAGAGTTAAGTTTGAATTAAGATCTAACTATAAGTATTGAGCTGGTTTATTCTGATGTGAAAGAGCAACTGTCATCTTTGACCTCTCAATTTGTTTTACACAGTAGGACTCCGAAGCCTGAACCTACTAAATTCCTGCAGCAGCTTTATGTAAGCAGGGCTGTGAGATGTAGCAGGGCTATCCCCATCAGTAGGATTCTGTAACAATCTGCCAAATTCTTTTGGATCCCTTCCTGTCTTTTTAAAGCAAACAACAAGTGATTACACCATGTATTACTCCAGTTCAATTTCTTAATTTACTCTAAAGCTCACTGCAAGTATTTTGTCTGCTTTTTTCATACTGATGTTTCTTTTCTTCTAATACCTGGTCTTGAAAAGCAGTGAAGCGCTAGATGTGAATCCAGTCCAAAAAAAGTCAGATATAAACTTATATTCAGGAGAGAACAAAGCAGTATGGGTTTGATTTTTTTACTCCTGATACAAAAGTCTTTTTAATCTTTCCTTGTTTGAGTTTTGTAGTACCGCAAATTCCATTACTGATTTTTTATTTCCAAAACTTAAGCTCTTTCACTGTGTTCAGTGTATGAGGTCACCAGAAGGAAAAGTAGCATTATGACAGGTCTCTGAAACTGCCTGTGTAGTTGAAAGTAAATTTTTCTTTGAAAGGTTTTTTACAAATGACGAGGAATCTTTCTCAAAGCATATGGAATATTTACCATGGTACATTTGAAAAGCTTTGTGCACCTCTTGCTTTAGTCTCACTGATGGGAAAATTCATCTTTCAGTTGCTACTGAACCTCTCCTTTTCTTGACATTCTAGACACTGATTCCACTTACCAGTTACTTTGGAGTCTTCTTGCTAATCCGTGCATTTTTAATGACACTTAGCAAAGATAACCTGCCTGTAAGGACTGAAATGTAAGACCACAAATAGGCCTATTCATATTTAAGGCCTACTTAAAACTAAGTATATTGGTTTAAATAGTATTTTTTAGTTACATGTAAGTTTTTGCAGTTAAGGTATAATACATTCACAGTTATTACACTTGCAAATGCTCTGCAGTTCTTAATTCTGCAAATCATTTTCTATTGTAAGCCTGCAGATCCTCCCAGACAGACTTGTGCAACTCAGCCTTTCTTTACCTCCTGCTGCTCCATAAAGATGGATCTGATATGGAAAGAGCTTCACTACCTGAAAGTTAAGCATCCAGCTTCTGGATGCCTTCTGGAAGTCCATACCTTTCCATGTGAGCTATTTAAAAACTATGGCTCGCCAGACTGGGTCTGAATCACTGTCCTCATTAGAGGTCAAAGTTAGGTGATAGGCATACTATTTCACTGCCGCTCAGTTTCTAAGACTCTTTCCATGTCAGATCATATGTGGACTTTCAAATTGGTACGCTGGACACTAAACGCAAATCTAAGCATAAAAGAATAAAATGGTTTAAATATGAATGTCTAATATTCAGAATAAAACCTATTATCCATATCAGTACTACAAAAGAAAATTGTCTGAAAGCTCTTTTCCCCTAACTAAAAGAGTTATGAAAAATTCTTAGTAAGTTTTATCTACAGAACAAAGATTTTCTGATTAGTAAGTCTGTTCTCTCCATCTGCCAATTTTTTTGTTGCTCATACTGTTTCTTTTTTTAAAAGAAAGTCCTTAAAGTTCTTTTGGCTTTTTAGTCCACCCCTCAAAATAATTATTAAGTGGCAAGAAGCAGCCAAATAAAGAGGAGAAGGGAGGAAAGAGCTAACACTGCTGTGTCTGACTTTCAGAAACCTACCCCTGTATGAGCATATCTATGTGCTCAGGTAGAAATGGTCACAAATTTCCTCCACCAGCAAGCCAGCTGTATCCCTGGAAGAGCACCGCTGTATCAGTACAGTCCTGTGGTGGAATTTATACACATTCAGAGCCAACCATTTCTTAATTTATGCAACTATGCTCAAGACTTATGGCTTAGCCTAGCACCAAGCCTAATTCAGACACTTGACTCTGCCAAGAATTGCTTGCAGCGGGGCACATGGATGGAGCAGGTCCAGCATAGTCTGGGCTAGGATGTGTAGACATGCTCTGAGAAAGCTGAAATGGAGGCAGTTGCTATAGTCAGCATGACCATACTGCTATATATTAGACTTTATTACAGTGATACAATTGAAGCTCCATTAGGTCAATAATTTTCAGGCTTCTGTATGAAGAAGATTCTCCTGCAGAGGAGTGCAAAGCTTTTCTGCATACTGGAGGATATGCAACACAGCTGCAGTGCAAGAAAAACCATAAGCCACAAACGTGAACCTGTTGCAATCTAACTTAGCGAGTAACCAAATCAGATGAAGTGAAGCATAAAATGCTTTATGCTGACTTCCCTTGCATTCATATTCACTTAAATCCATTAGTATCTTCAAATATTTAGGAGAATCTAGACTGTTTTCAATTATACATGAAGCAAGCAACAAGCTTTTAGTTAGAGTAAAAAGTTCTACTTTAAAATGATGCCTATTCTGACCTCTTGATGCCTTCCAAACTTGCATTTCCAAGTATCTTGAGTCTAAAGAGGAGCCACGTGTTCTACTTTGTGGTTATAACAAAGCAGGTGTCTGAGCAGAAGAGCATCTCCAGTCTAGGTAAATAATTAAACATAATTTGGCACCAGGAATAATAATGAAGTTAAAAGAAAACATTCAAGTAGGGGAATTAACCAGCTACAGGCATCAGAGCTTAGAAGAGGTTTAAGACCTTTAGACCTTTCACTCCAGGTCTGAAAGTTATGGGTATCAATGGAAAGTAAGAGATTTGCAATTATATTTCCTGACAATGAACAATAGGGACACTGTTTGTGTTTCATACTATCTATCACCTTATATGGAGAAATTGTCAAACTATTACAGAAGTATGAGGGCTCCTCATCACATGGAAATAAAGCAAGTTTTTTTAAAAAAAAGAACTCCAAACTCTGTAATAAAAATGAGGAGCAAACCTGAAAAAGCCTGTGCTAGATTATTGTCTCAAAAGACAGGCACCTAGCCTCCAG